ATAATCGAAACTTCATGTGTATTGTATGTCACTTTCATGCATTCTTTCTATATTTTTCAAAGATGATCAGTTTTAAAAGAATTTCGTCTGACACATTATCAGAGAAAAAGACGTCCTAACTCCTCCTCTTTCGATTGGTGAAAACCGCAGGTCTCTAGCTGTTTCCTTTCTCGAGTTATTCAAAAAACAGTCACACGCACGGACTTTTTGGACGGATATTAGTTTACAATCATCATTGACAAGAAATGATAATGACTGATACAGTAAATCTCATATAATATTTAGAAAAATGATTTATAGTTTTTTTTTTTCTCACACTAAAGATATTATATTTTGAATATAAAAAAAAAAACCAATTAATAAATATTAAAAAGAACGAAGTTCTATTTTCAGATGTCATCCGATCCATTGATCAATCCAAATCCATATTATCAAGTTAATAGATGGTCACGTTTTTTTCATAGTTGGATAGCGATATTACTTAAAAAAAGTCATAAACAAGGTACATTGCATTTAAATGATCTCTATGATCTTCTTCCTCAATTTGAAGCAACAAAATTAACTGATGATCTTGAAAAAAATTGGCTCAATGAAGTAAAACAAACACAAGGTAAACCAAATCTTGTTCGTGCAACATTAAAAACTATGGGATGGGGACCATTACTTACTGGTTTACTTCTTATTCCAACTGTAATTTTTTTTAAAACAAAATTAAACTAAAAAAGTAAAACTATTTTTCTCGTGATGTTTTTTTTTTGTTTAGGAATTAGCTAAATTTTCTCAACCAATATTATTAACATTTCTTATGGGATTTTTTGATATATGTCCTACAATATCTGCATCCTATGCTTGGCTTTTAGTTGCTGCAACTAGTCTTGCTGCTTTAATATGTAGTACTACTTATCATCAAGTAATAATTATTTGCTTGAATTTTATATGTTTTCATTTAAATATATATAATATTTGACTCTCATAAACATCATAGAGCTACAAAGTCTATCGTTTATCAGAAAAATATTTTTATCTAAATATTAATTTTTAACTTTAAAAAAAAATTTTGCTTAGGAAAGAGAAGAAAAAAATAGCTACTAGACGATTTTAAATAGAGAATTAAATTTATTTTCTAGTATTTTCATCGAATAACTATATATGGTTTACAAATGCGTGTAGCATATACTGGTTTAATATTTCGTAAAGTAAATTTTTTGAAAATATTTAATAAATAAAAAACTATGATTATAATTGTTTGTTTGTTTTTTCTTCAAGATTCTTCGATTATCGAGTCATTCGATTAATAATTTTAGTTCTGGTCAAATAACAAATTTAATATCGAATGATGCAAGTCAAATTGAATTAACTTTTTATTTTATTCATTATTTATGGGTATTTAATAAAATTTTTATTTTTTTTTTTTTGTAATAAGATAATAATTTTATTATTATTTAGGTTGCTCCATTAGAAATAGCTTTTGTTATTATTTTCTTTTGGAAATATGTTAAATATATTTCTTTAATTGCTGTTGGATATACATTATGTCTTTTAATTATTCAAGCTTCATTTGGTCGTTTATTTGTTTATCTTCGGTTAGTAATCTTTTCTTTTGTTTTTTGGTCTTAATTTTTAAATAAAAATTTCTCTTTTTTTTTCTATTTCAAATAATAAGAGCAAGAATTTTACATGTAACTGATGAACGTATTAAAATTATGTCAGAAATAATTAAATCAATGCGTATTGTAAAAATGTATTGTTGGGAAACAGCATTTTATAATAAAATACGTTCAATAAGAAAGTTTGTATATAAAATTATTTGTTTATAATTTTTCTTTTTTGTCATATAGACGTGAAATAATACAATATGCTTTTCGTTTATTACTTGATTGTATTCAAACATTATTATCACATACTTATATAAGTGTTACATTTTTAATGTTATATGGAACAATGTGGTTATTAGAAATTAAATTTGATACAAGATTTTTTGCACTTGCTGCTTGTATGCTTGGATATATGCGTTTATCAATAATTGATTTTTTTACTTATGCTGTTCGTTATCTAGTTAATTATTTAGCTGCAAAAAAACGTATACAAGTTAATATGAATAATATTTGATTTTAATAGAAAAAAATATAATTTATATATTAATAGATATTTCTTCTTCTTGATGAAACTGAACGAGATAATCGATTATTATCAACATCTATGTTAGATCTTGAATATTCTACAAAAGAAGAAATTCATAAAGAAAAACTAATAATGAATATACCAATGAAAAAATCTCCTAGTGTTATTTGTAATTTAAAACAAGCAAAATGGAATCAGGTATACTATTTCAATTAGATATGTATGTATCGAACCTCTCTACATGTTCGAGTTCGGTCTTGATTGTAATCGTTTTCAACCAATTAATAAAACAAAGTAGAATTGAGTTAAAAGAAAGGATTTCAGGCTTGACTTCGGTAGATCTAAATGGGTTGAAGAGTTCAAGCAATAGGCATGTTACATGAGA